TGTCTCATCACCTTGTGGCATGCGGTTTCAAGAGGAGTAAGTGGTGCCAACAGCCAAGAAGGCTCTTGCCAAAAACACAGCTCCTCCCAAATGACTGTAATTGGTGGGAAATGCAAGAAAAATGAGGTCTATGGTGATGACCAAGCATCTGCCAGGGTGCTGAGGAGAAAGTCTTTGCTGTCCTGGTCCAGGTTGAGAGTCAACAACCACCAAACCTAATGGCTTTCAGAAGTTGCCAAGGCTGGATTCATGGAGGAGCTAAGATGGAGACCGAGCCTGGTCATCATCTATGGTGGCAACCAAGAGCCTGCCATGGTATTGAGGGGAAGTCTTTGATTTGAGTGCAGGCTGAGCTGCGAGTCAAGGGCCATCAAACCCAACAGCTTTCAGAAGACACCACAGATGGATGCATGGAGAGACTAAGTCAGAGATGGAGTCCTCACTATCCACGATGGAAGGAAAACTATCCAAACGGTCCAATTGGGGAACATCCCCAACAGAGCAGGGAACAAAGCCATGACAGATGAGAGGTCCTAACCATCAGCGTCCTCAGGACCAAGCCTTACCCCAAGGCAAAAAGCCCCAAGTCCAAGGCAGTTGGGCAGAAGCAACAGCCCACGGAGCTTCCCAACCCGCTCCCATGGACGAATCCACCTTCCCAGAGCCTCCCAATTAGGGCTGTGTCTTTGGGAGGTCTCAGCAACCAGATCCCTTATCAAAGGCAACCTCAATCGTTCAAATAATGGGGGTCTCGTCTCGACTGGGGCGCCGTTCAGGGAGAGCGGCCCGAGGAACACGGACCACATCGCATCCGACAGCCCCAACATCAGTTCTGATCGCGGAATTTGCATCCAATTTAAATATCTTTCTCGCTCTCCCTCCTTTTTTTTTTTTCCATCTGGAGCAAATGAATAATCCGAGGAGCTGCCCCGGCCTTAATGACATTTTGTGCAATTAAAAAGCGAAAGGGGAGGAACGGAAAGGCGCCCGTTGCAGGCGCCGGAGCGCTGCCGGCTCCCGCTCCCGTTTCCCTCCCCTTGTAAGAAATTACAGCCCGAAAACACAAATCCTTCCGAAAGGATGAAACAAAAGCTGCTCTTCCCACATCCGCGGCGCTGTCTGCAGCGGGAAACGAGATAAAACGCTATAAATTCAGGCCCTTCTGGGTGGTTCTTGGCTCCGGCGGCACCGATTTCCATCTCTTTATGCGGGAGTCCCGGGGAGCAGAAATCCTCGCTAATGCCGAACAATTCCACACTCGTTTTTCTCCCGACTTTGCGCCGCAGCACACGGGGGCTTCCCGGGGCCGGGAGTGAAACCAGATGCCGCGTCCCTGGGACACGGCGGGAATAAAATCCCGGCTGTCTCGTGGTGCGGGAAGGTTGTGGGGGATGGATTTGGGGCCGGGGCAGGAGGCGGCTTTTGCGGCACTAAAAACACTCGTTTTGCACCGTTTTGGTTGCTCTTCTCCCTCCGGGAACTAATTCCCACGAGGAAAAATGGGCAGTAAAAGAGCTGGAGCACAAATGGAAGATAAAGCTCTCGCCGTGCGAGGCGCAAGGCTCCCGTTACCTCACGACGGGCCGAGTTATGTTATGATTTTTGGGGGGATTTGCCTCCATTCTTGCCCAAAATGTCGAGGGAGGCGCTCGCTGGGGTTGGATCCCGTAGGCCCGGGCGAGCCTGGGACACCGGGAATATGGTCGGAGCCGGGATGCTCCGGGTTGGGGAGGCGCAGGGAGCTCTGAGGCGCTTGCAGGGACGGGGAGGGCCGGCGGCGCGGGCCTCAATGGCGGGTCTGTGCGAAGGCCGAGGCCCGGAGGCCCGGAAAGAGCGCGGAGAACAGACGGGCCTTTCTTCCGCGCCGCCGGGATCCCCTCGCGGGACGGCGGCAGTGGCAGCGCCACGGGGCCGGGCAAGGAGGAGGAAAATCCAAGGGGCCGCTCGGTTCTGCGGCTGGCGCGGGGCCGCTTTCCTTCAATTTATTTTATTTTATTTTATTTTATTTTATTTTATTTTATTTTATTTTATTTTATTTTATGTTATGTTATGTTATGTTATTTTATTTTATTTTATTTTATTTTATTTTATTTTATTTTATTTTATTTTACCTTATTTTATTTTATTTTATTTCATTACATTTCATTTTATTTTATTTTATTTTATTTTATTTTATTTTATTTTATTTTATTTTATTTTATTTTATTTTATTTTATTTTATTTTATTTCATTTTATTCCATTCTATTTTATTTTATTTTATTTTATTTTATTTTATTTTATTTTATTTTATTTTATTTTATTTTATTTTATTTCATTTCATTTTATTCCATTCTATTTAATTTAATTTCATTTCATTTTATTTTTATTTCATTTCATTTTATATTTTATTTAATTTCATTTTATTTTATTCTATTTTTTAATTTTTTTATTCTATTTATTTCATTTCATTTCATTTTGTTTCATTTCATATTTTATTTCATTTCATTTCATTCTATTTTTAATTTTTTTATTCTATTTATTTTATTTTATTTTATTTTATTTTATTTTATTTTATTTTATTTTATTTTATTTTATTTTATTTCATTTCATTTCATTTCATTTCATTTCATTTCATTTCATTTTATTTTGTTCTGTTCTATTTCATTTTTCTCCTTTCACTTTCTTCTGCCTTGTTTTGAGTTAACGGTCCTGGTGCCGGAGGAGGAAACATCATGTTTTAGCAATGAGGTCCCTGGTGAGGCTGTTTAAAAATTAATTGGCGCCACGCGACGTCTCCGCAATGAATAGTAATTCTGTTTTGTCGCACCCACCACCTTCTCCCAGCTTTGGCATGGTCCTCCTGGCCGGTGGGGCCCTAAATATTGAGGACCTGAAGAAACCACTGCTGGTATCTCCTGAAAATGCTCCATCCATCGCCGAGCGTCCTCCTTGATGGGTATTTTCCGTGGCGCTCATACAAATCCCGCTGTTGTTTGCAGGGCCGGCCCCGTCGTTCGCTCTGCTCATAGGAGGGTCTTCTCTAGCAGGAGGGTCTTCACCAGAAGGTCTTCATCATCGTCGTCCCAAGAGGGCAGTCCCTCAGGAACATGAGCAAAAAGGGGGCCGGGGTCAGTTGGATCCGATCCGTAGGGAGGTGGGTGGTGCAGTGTGGGCTGGGATGGAGGAGAGAGAGTCTCTGAGGATGGAGATTCCTCATAATCCCAGGATGGAGGCGCCCTGTGGATGGGGACGTCTCAGTCCCAAGGATGGAGATCCCCCCCAATCATGAGGATGGAGACCGTCCAACCTCTGAGGATGGAGATCCCCCAAACCCAAGGATAGAGGCGCACCTAAACACAGGGAGGAAGACCTCCAGAAGATGGAGATCCCTCCAGGATGGAGATGCCCCAATCCTGAAGAAGGACCTCTCCCCCATGCCAAAGACAGAGATCTTTCAGCCTCCCAGGAAGGAAATTCCCCCAAACAGGAAGATGCCCCACCTTGAGGATGGACACTCCCTAACTCAAGGATGAGGATCCCAAATCCAAGGTTGGAGTAACCCAAAACCTAACATCAAGACTCCTAAAGCCCCAAGGATGGGGATCCGCAAACCTGGTGTATGGAGACCACCAAATCACAGAATCACTGGATGGTTGGGGTTGGAAGGGACCTCTAGAGATCATCTAGTCCAACCTTCCTGCTCCAGCAGGGACACCTAGAGCACATGGCAAAGGGTGGCATCTAGGCAGGTCTTGGGGACCTCCAGAGAAGGAAAACAAGGAAAAACAAAGGAAAAACAAGGAGGAAGACAAGGAGGATCCACAGTCAAAAACACCCCCTCACAAAACCCCAGGGATGAAGAACCTTAAGGCTGAAGACGTCCAAAGCCCAAGGATGGAGATGATCCACCAGGAGGGCTCATCCTCCTCTTGGGACCTCCAGCAGGCCCCAAGGGATTGGCAAGCCCTACAGTCTTGGGTCTTACAACCCAAGAAAGCCCGCTGAGAAAAATAAAGAAATAAGAAGGAAAAGCCCCAAATCCCACGACTTTAAGTGCTGTCAAGCCCTGTTAACGGTCCCCTCGCAAACGGGAAACGACTGGGATAAATTACTCGGCTTAGCAGCGGCCGGGAAAAGCTTTTCGGAAGAGCCAGCTGCTGCGCGGAGAAGGAATTTGTCGGGAATTTCCAGCCTTGCTGGAGACACCCTGGCCAAGGCCACGTGTCACCTCGATGGAGCAAATTGAAGTGATTTTAGAGCCCAGGACAAGGGTCAACAATCATCCCCTGGTCCCTCTTTGGGTGGAAAACCCTGTGTTTTGTATTTTTGAAAACCCTGTATTTTTTGTATTTTGATCCAAGGAGTCTGGATCTCCCTGATCCAGACAGGATGGAGAGTGAGGAGCCACAAGGAGAGGCCTTTCTCCCCACCGTGGGCACCCCTTGCAAGGAGAAGCACCAAGCCAGGTTGCTAAAACACCCCAAAATTCAGTCCAACCATCAGGCTGACTTAAGGGCGGTTTCGCTCCCAGTGGAAGGGTTAAAAGCTTAAAACCAGCTCCAAGAAAACGGCAATTGCTCCTAAAACCAGCTGCTTCCCGACAAGGCTGAGGAGCTGCCCCGGATGGTCGGCGGGGAGCGCGCGGGATCCATCCCGAATCCCGGGCCTCGGGGCAAAACCACAAGAAGAAAGGCATGGAAAGTAGGACGCCAAGTGCCGCTAACCCCCCCAGCTCAGCTTGACGCGCGCTAATTACCCGGTAATCATCGTTAGAGGCGCGGAAAGGCGGCTCCCACCAAGGGAGGGGGCGCATCAATATTAATGTCCCACTTGCCGCAGCAGAGCCCGGCCCAGCAAGAGGCAAAGAGGCCTCCAAGCAAAAAGAGGAGCTCCAAAAATCGCTATTTCCAAGCCTGGAAGACGTGGAAATCACTGGTATCTTCCACTAGAATACCAAGTTTTGGCAAGATGGTGTTTCTCACCAAAAAGGGGTGTCTTTAAAAGATTTATTCCCCCCAAAATGGAAGAATTCTTGATTTTAGGGCAAGGGTTTGAAGAGCATTTGCCCCAGGTGGTGCTGGAGGCCACCGATGGGTTCTTTGGTGGTGACTTGTGGCCGGTTGAGTTTGATGTCAAGGGAAAACTGGTGGCACGAGGTGGGGATTTGACAGCGTTGACGCAAGGAAAATAAAATATGTGGGTGCTCCTGGCTCGTTCTGAACCTTGGAAACCCTTGTGAGACACCGCACCGTGGTCAGAAAGGACCTGGACAGGGCTCTATTCGGCCATCTATTTAATAATGGCCATCAGAAACATGTTGATCCTTCAGAGGAGACCAAATCTATCCGGACTCGCACTAATGAGTCAACAGGAATGGCCAAAAAAGGCTATAAACCAGCTTCATATATTAAGAGAAATCCCCAGAAGTGCCCGTTTTAACTCAGTTGGACCATTTCAGCTGCCAACGCCACCTTGCAATCCTAGCATTGGCCATCGACCCTCTTCAAACTGGGGAACTTCCAAAAAGACACTGAAGACCCAGTGGAAAGGGTAATTTTTCCAATTTTAGTTCTCCTCTCGCTTACGTATTTCCAGCCAGTGAATAGCAGCCACAAGGGCTACGGCCACAAGGTCCAACCATCTCCAAGAAGAACTGGAGGCCAGGAATGAGCTTTTCTTAGAAGACACTGAGGAGGCCGCTCAAGAGATGTTGAATTGTGCCACTGGAGGACCAAAAATGACCAAAAACCAGGAGTTTTTCTGCATTTCTCAGGTGGGATGATGGAAGGAGAACCTGGAGGACCTTGAGAAGAAGCAAAACCATCTTCCATGGGGTGACCAGTGCTCATCTTCACCATCTCAGTGCCAACTAGGAGCATTGAGGAAGTTGTTTCCGCAACCCCACACCACACGGAGCCCTGAGGAGGCCCTTCCATGACATTTCTCCATCAAATGGACCAACAAGGGACAACCTGGAGGCCGCTGGAGCTTCACGTGTCCCGAAGGGCTGGAGGCAGCTTGTCCGTCCACGTCCGGTGCTCATCCCAGCTTTATTTATCCCAAAACAAGGGTGAAGGCAGGGAAGGCACTGGGACAATTTCTCACCCCAAAACTGCTCCCCACGATGGAAAGGAGCGAGGCAGAAGCCTCCTTTGGTGGCAAAACCGGTTCTTTGAGGGAAACCCAAGTGAATTTGGGGGGCAATTCCCAGGGATCCCGCCAAATCCCGGGGCTCACCTGTCACATTTGCTATTTTGGGGGGACAAAATGACAAAAAGAGGAGTTGGAGCTAATTAATAATGATTTTTAGGGGAAAAACGTGATGTTTGGAGAGCCACCTCGGAGCACCACAACAGCGTCACCAGCAACAAAACCCTCTTCCCTGCAAAGCAAGAGTTTGGGGCGGAAAAAAAAAAAAATGCCGAGTTTGGAAACGCCGCCGCGAAATTTCATTTCTGCCCACGAAGCTCCGCGCCACCCGAGCGCTATTTTAAGTTGAAATGTCAATTTGGAGCTAACATTTAAAAAATGTCAAAACATTTCACTTGCGCAGACGGAGCGGCTTTCTTTTCTCTTCCCTCTTTTTTTTTTCTCGGCCTCCGTGTGGCCAAACGGAAATTACTTTGGATTTCTTTTTTTTTTTTTTAACGCCGCGGGGGAGAAAAAAGAAAAAAAAAAGGAAGAAAAATCAATATTTTGACTTCTCGCCGCGAAAATAAAATTAAAATATAGCGTTTTCCTCCAGGATGCCAAGCGGATTTTGTGGGAAGCTGCAAGGAACAGGGAGAGGAACCAAACGCTTGTGAGCAAGTTGGGGACGTGGGGAGAAATACGGTGATTGTGGTCTCGCATTCAGGATAAATCCTTTCCCAAAAATGGGAATGCGCGGCCAGCACGGGCGGGATTTTTGAGCATCTCTGGGATACGGGAAAACGCCCTCCGGCGCTGATGATTTATTTTTATTTTTGTTCTTTAATGAGGAGACTTGGAGCTGGAAAACCAAACAGAGAGCTTGGAAAAAACAACCTGGCGTCTCCTCCGGCGCCTTGGCTCCGCGCCGCATCCTGGCGCCTCTTCCCGCATCCCGGCGCGTCTCCGAGGCTCCCAATGGGTTTCCCGAGGGATATTTGCAGCTCGGCTTTTGGGGACCCCAAATTTCGCTTGTTTTGGGGGGTAGATATTATTTTCCGATGCCTTTTTCCCGCGCCGTCTCGAGGCGGCGTCTCCGGCGGCGGAGTTTCCGAGAGCACGTTGGGAATAACGCAATTATCTCGGCTCGCCACATTTGCTCAGCCCTGGCTGAGGTTTAATTAAAGCCAAGGCGGAGAAAAAAAAAAATAAAAGGAAGAAAAATAAAGGAAAAAACCCCAAACCCACAGAGGAGAAGCCGGATTTCCCGTATCGCCCCGGCGCACGCGGCGATAAAAAAATTGAAGGGAGGGGAATAAATCCTTTATCGGCCGTTTTTGGAGTCGCCAAAGTCGGATATTGCTCCTTTAGCACCTTGCCTTGAAAGAAAATGCATATAAAAATATATAAATATATGTGTAATTTTATATATATTTATATATATTTACATATATATATAATATATATAAAATATATAAATATATATGTGATTTTATATATTTTATATATATTTTTATATAAATATATTATTTTTATATATAATATATATTATATATATAATATATATAATTTACATATATAATTTATATATATTATAATATATATTATATATAATATATAATATGTATAATATGTAATATATATGTATAATATATATAATATATATAATATATATAATGTATTATATATATTATATTTTATATAAATATATAGAAATATATAAAAATATATGAAAATATATAAAATATATATATATATGGGGGGTTCGGCACCTGTGCACGTGTGTAAGGGTGCATATATATATAAATGCAGATATATATGGGGCACGTGTGCGCTGCGGGTGGGGAGGCAGCCCATATAGGTCATTTTTAGAAGGGCGGGCGCCTAATCCCCTGTAATCTCTCTGAATTACACCTAAAACACAGTCGCTGGCGGGTGACCTTTCCCGCTGGTTTCTATGCCAACGGCGTCCGGAAAAAAATATATACCGGGGAAAAAGGAATCGAAGGGCGTTCCGGTCGACGTCGGGGCTGGCGTGGAGTCGGATCCTGGGAAAGTCCCGTGCTGGGAAAGATCAAGGTGTTTTTCAGATGTGGATTAAGTTTTCCAGATGTGGGTTAAGTTTTCCAGGCCTGGATTGCATGGTCGGCACGGGTGTCACGCTGTCCTGCCTCCAACAGGTGGATTTTGCTCCCGAATTCCCACCGTGACGGGAAAATCCCACTGGAAAAAGCTGTTGGCATTGGGAGCGTTGGTTGTGAGGGAAAAGCAGGACCAGCTTGGCGCCTAATCCCGAAAATTCCCGATTTTCCAGGCGGGAAGGTTTGCACCGCCTGCCTAGGCTGGGATTTCGGGAACACCGGCTTAGGGAACGCCACAGGCAGGTGGCGAGTGTGGAAAACTCAGCGGAAGAATCACTTTAGAGCAAAAAATAAGGGCAAAACACTTGCAGAATTTGAAAAATCGGTGCTAAATAGTCAAACTTGGAAAAATTGAGGGGAAAAAAGGGATAAAAACTCCACGTTTGCAAAGCAGCCACTTTGCTCCGATGAAGGAAACGGGAAGCGGGTCCAGTTTTCTCCAGCTGGAAGCTTGTGAGATGGATTTCCCCCTTGCAAAAAAAAGTTCTCCCCAAAATCGCAGCATTTTGGGCTTTTTTTCCTTGATTTTTCTATTTTTTTAATTAATCCCTACCCGGGGAAGTAGGAAAATCCCACAGGGAGCGGGTCCTTCCCGCGTGCCAGGAGCCGGGGGGTATTTTCCGACGGCTCCACCGCGCGCGGGCCTAAGAGGATAAAAATACCCGTTTCCATAGGAACGCCCACTCCGGAGTTTTCCAAGACGGGAATTAACCTGGTGCTAATTCCCGTCCGCAAATCTGCGTTCGGCGCCGCCGTTTTGGGCTCATTCGGGAGGTTTTGGGGTGATTCCTGGGAAAGGAGGCGCCTTGGTGGTCCGCTCATCCCGTGCCGCCGTGCACTTGGGTTGCATTTAATTCGCTCCAAAATGCCCTGATTTCACTTACGAAATTAAATTAAATTAAATTAAATTGTATTCAATTCAATTTAATTTAAAAAATATATATATAATGGAAGTTTAATGCTTTGTTTTTACAAAAACAGGCCAATTCCAGTGACAAGGGGCTGCAGCGCTCTCTCAATTCCCCCCACTCCAAAAACCCTCCAAACCACCTCTTTTTCCTCAAAAAACCAGCATTTGTCCCGGAAAGCTGCAGATCCGGAGGGAGCTGGAGATGGGGCCGGGGTGTTTTGTGCCGCTGGGGTCTCCTCCGGGTGGGAAAACACCACGGAAGGGCTCCCAAATCCAAGCGGAGATGCCCGAGAGGAGCACTGGCGCCCAAGCATGGTGTGAATTGGTGGCAATTGGGTGGCGGTCAAGGTCCAAGTGTGGGCATGAGGCCACCTCGAAGCATGGAGAGCTGGTGGCACCACTGCATGGACCCCAGGTGACACCACAGCATGGACACGAGTCAACGTCAAGCCTTGGAGAGCAGGTAGCATCAAAGCATGGACACCGGGTGATACCACAGCATGGACACCAGGTGACACCAAACTATGGATACAAACCCACCAAGCCAAGTCCTGGACCTCAGGTGACACCAAAGCATGGACACAAGTCAACGTCAAGCTATGGACACCAGGTAATGCCAAACTATGGACACAAACCAATGCCAAACCATGGAAGCAGGTAGCACCAAACCATGGATACAAACCCACCAAGCCAAGTCCTGGACCCCAGGTGACACCACAGTATGGACACAAGTCAACACCAAACCATGGACCCCAGGTGACACCAAAGCATGGACACAAGTCAACGTCAAGCCATGGACACCAGGTAATGTCAAACTATGGACCCAAACCAATGTCAAACCATGGAGAGCAGGTACCACCAGAGCATGGACACAAATCAACACCAAACTATGGACACCAGATGCCACCAAAGCATGGATACAAACCATGGCCAAACCCTGGACACAGGTGACACCAAACCATGGACATCAGCTAGC